ACACGCATGCGTTTAAATAGGAGCTTCACTTTATGAAATGGATTAAAGTAGAACGTTTTTAGTTTTTAAATATTTTCAAAAATATTACTTTCTCCAAAACTCACTTTTTTTATCTCTCGCTTTTCTTTTCTCTTTAGAACGCCATGAATACGCAATCGGTTAAATACATTAACCACTGCTCAGTTAACATTGGTTTGAATAGTTTTGTATTAGTTCTTTATACTTGAATGTAGGTTTTAAATGATCAAAGAAATTTTTAATTTTAGAAGATAAAGCATTTTTTTTCGGAAGCATTTTTTTCTTCAATATTATGAAGGCAATTTTTTATTTATTTTGTAAATGCTTTAAACTTTCCAATCAAGTATTTCATCCGAGGTTTTGGATTAAATGTTTGAATCTCAAGATGCAAAGAGCCAACTGATGGGCTAACTGACGTGCTAACTGACGTGGTGTACTTTTAATAAACCAATATTGACAGCTACTGTAGCATTTAAAATTAAATAGCTTATTTACAGTTTAGAATTAGTTTCAACTGTTTTTTAGTTCTAAAGGGCACAACCCTGCTTTTTAAATTGAAAGAACTGATGTTTGACTCGATGCAATACGAGTGCTGGGAAAAAAATTGGCAATATTATGAAACTCAAACTTTTAAATCAAAAAATTCACTGAAAAGCATCGTATTAACGTATTCTTAACTTTTGAAGTTTTCTATAACGAGATCAAATGGCAAAATATTTTGAAATATTTAAATGTAAGGAATCTTTGTCATTTGTAAAAATACATTGAATGCAAATTGTTAGCGAATTAATATGTGAAATAGATATAAATATGTGTAATAATAACATGTGAATTAATATGTGAAATAGATATAGAATTTTAAACAAAAACAAAAGATCAACTTTAGCAAAATTAATTATTCTTCATATGTTGTTGGTATATTTAGTAAAGCACTTAATTGGGCTAAAGAAATGGGTTTAATTTCAATCATTTATATGCTAAACATTGCATGTAGTTTATAGTAATATACTGCATCCAATATATAACTTCTGCAAAAAAAAAAATAAAATAATAAAAAAAAAAATAAATCTACACAAATGTACACAAACGCACTTTAAATAAAACTTTAACTCTAAAACAACATAATAAGTTGCTAAAAATGGTGAAAAACGTTGGAAGTGTTAAAAATGACTTTTTTTTGTAAACAAAAAAAAGTCTTTTTTTCTAAAAGACTTTTTTTTTGTTTTTTTATTTTTGATATTTAGAAACATATAGAAATTGAGAAATTTTTTCAGACATTGATAATTGGGTTTTTTTCAAGTTATAGAAATTGACACTTCAAAACACGTGTCGTTGGCCCTGCTACGTCAAGAGTAAGATGATTGCTCTTGGGATTGTTAAATTGCTTTGGTAAAGTTAAGTTTATAAAAGCAAAACATAGCTAATATATGCATTAAATTTACAAGAGCGAATAACAGCATAGCTGATGTATAATAATGTATCCATTGTTAACAACTGTTAACAATCTGCGGTTTATTTGAATGAGTTTATACTCATGATGACTCAGTTAAGATAAAAGCTTTATTCCTTTGTTAAAAATTAATTTACTCAGAAGTTTTACTAAAAAACTATTGATTTTAGAATGGTAGAAAAAACAAATTGAAATTTTTTTTTTGTTTTTCTCAAATACTTGGTTGGTAAAAGAAATAAGCTTAAGCTTAAAAAGCAATAAAAATATACAACATATATATATATATATATATATATATATATATATATATATATATATATATATATATATATATATATATATATATATATATATATATATATATATATATATATATATATATATATGTATATATATATATATATATATATATATATATATTCATATTTATATATATATATATATATATATATATATATATATACATATATATATATATATATATATATATATATATATATATATATATATATATATATATATATATATATATATATATATATATATATATATATATATATATATAGTAAAAATTAAAACTTGAACCAGTGGGCACAGACAACCCATGAGACATCATTGTAAAAATGTATAAATTATTAAAATACATAAATTTGAATGTACCACAAGGTTTTCATTTTTACTTTATGATGTCCTTGTTGCATCCTTTTCATCCTCAGTGATGCAAAAACAAAAAATCATGGCGGATTTGTAATTTTATGAATGTGGCTTTAAAGAATTAACCTTAATATTTGCATGAAAACAAAATTAAGCATATTTAAAACAAATATTTGTTTCTTAAATGTCTTATATTGCCCCGCCTCACCCTGTAGACTTCGTTTGCACTCATAAAAGTACGCAGTTTTATGATAAGCCGTAAAATATACGTCATAAAAAGAGTGTATTTTATATGAAATTACGTCAAGATAAAAAAGCTATTCTTTTTTTTGTAAAAAGTGATAACTTCCTGATAAAACTCAAGCCTTTGAATGTTTTATCAGGAAACAATTACTCTCCACAATCATTTCAATAATACTTACTCAACCATGAAGATTAGTAACTGCTTAGTCCTACTTCTTTACAACTACGTAGCAACTTTACAATTACATAGCAACTTTACAACTACATAGCTACTTTGTTATCTTATAAATCTAACAACAAATTTGCTGAACGCAAATGTAACTGCTAAGCATTTTTAGAAAGTAGTCCAGACAAAAATAATAACTCTATTTTTTTAAAAACATATATTAAAATTAGAAAAACACACAAAAAGCATAAATTAAAGTAGATTTAGTCTTACCTGTAAATAATGTAAATAAATAAGTAAATGCAATAGTTATAAGTAAAAAAATAAACAAAAAAGTTAAAATAACACTTTACTAAAAATAATAATATGGCAAATTTAAAAAGCAAAAAAACTTTTCAAACTGTTAAAATTTGAAAATCTTTTAATTTTGTTTTAAACCACCTTAATATTAAGAAGCCACCCTAACATAAACGTGAGTATACCCTAACACCCTAAAATAAACGTGAGTATACATGGCTAATAAATTCATAATGTAACATTTGTATTATTTGTTTTTAAATTAATTATTAAAGTGCTCCAACAAGACCTTATGATTTTTTCAGATTTAACTAGTTAGTTAACGCCTCTTTCCTTTCGTATTTCGCTTATTTTGCCTGAACTTGCATTGAATCGCGAACCTCTTGGATTTCAGCCAGAGCTCTCTTGCTATTGCACTACCGCTGCTTTTTGTGCATGGTGTAAGGTCAAGATCAAAAAAAGATTGTATCATGTTAAAATACCATACTATTCTGAAATAAATTGTTTTGCGAAAAGTTGTAGTAATTGTGACCACCCTTAAGTTTTGCTTATCCTTTTCTCCCCTCCCCAGTTCCAGACAGCAAACTGGCTACTTCTGCAAAAAAAAAAAAATCTACACAAATGTACACAAACGCACTTCAAATAAAACTTTAACTCTAAAACAACATAATAAGTTGCTAAAAATGGTGAAAAACGTTGGAAGTGTTAAAAAGAAAGAAGAAGTATAATTAATCTTTGACTAATTATCTTGATTATGTAGAGATTATTAAAGATTATGTAGAGATTAATATTTTTTCCTTTATCTTTTGTCACAAAAACACCACGCACTATAGGTTCAGATTAAGTGACGTTTAAAATTAACCTAATATAAAAAGCTTTTGTTTTGCCCAGATGACTTATAATTGTTTTGTTACTTGGAACATATTTAGTACCAAATAAAAATCTGACATAATTTGCATTGGCTCAATAAAGCAAATATTTACTTTCTTTGTTATTTATTTCAAATTTCTTTGTTATTTATTTATTTTTTATGCAAATGTATGCTACAAAAATTTTTTTTTAGTTAAACTTTTTATTTTTACTATTTTAGTTGTGGTTTTTTATTTAAAACAAATCAACGCATAAGCACGCGAAGCATCTAGAGGTGTTACGCTAATGTTCTCAACCACTATTTTTATGTTCTCAAACTTTAATCACATGTTACCACACTTTAACCAAATGTTCTTAAACTTTAATCACATGTTCTCAAACTTTAACCACATGTTCTCAAACTTTAACCACATGTTCTCAAACTTTAACCACATGTTACCATAATTTAACCACATGTTTTCAAACTTTAACCACATTCTCAAACTTTAACCACATGTTATCACACTTTATCACACGTTATCACTCTTTAAGATGAGCTACTGATATAATTTATTTGATGCAATCTATTGCATGGTACATAACAAATGTAATTTAAATTTCTTCATGCATTCTAAACTACGTTTGCAATACACGTTTGTAATACACGTATGATTTGATCAGTACGATCTTTAAAGCGTATGAACAATAGAAAGAAACTGGATACTAGTTGGTTTAATCATTGCTAAGCGTAAATTTTATTGACCATCCAAATAATTTAACAAAATCAATAGAAAAATAATTAAACATTAAAGATTCATTAATTTGAAGTAAAAAAAAGCTTTAAAGTTAGATTAAAAAACATAAATTTATTGTGATCAAAAAATAAACACGTTATCATTTTTTTATTTGTAAAATTTATTTTGTTATTTTTGCAGGCCTACAAACAATAAAGTGTTTTTAGGTGTGCAAAATAACAAAAAATATTTATATGAATTATAAAATAAGTTTTCGTTATTAAAAAAATTTATGACATATCCTGAGCATATGTTAGGCCGACGTCAGAATTGTTAAGTCAGAATTGTTAAGCAAGAGTTGCCTCAATGTTCGCCTAACTTGTTGTGCTGCTTGGAAAATCGGTACTATTAGAAAAACTCACAATATTCGGACGTTGATTGATTTAAGAAAAAAAATGGGAATGAAGAATAAAGGAGGAGTTGCGACTTTAATTTCCATCTGTAAAGTCACAGTCATACATTTTTAAAATTTATACAGACAATTACAGAAAATGAAATCTATTATATATATATAAAAAAAAAAAAGAAGTTAACATAAATATTAATATATTTTTTTCAACTCGAATCTTAATGTTAAAACTGTATTACGTAAAAAAACCATTATTTTACATAACATATATGTTAATATATACATGCAAGCATATTTGTATATTTACAGAATTGGGTGTAAGAGCGTTGCGCCATTTTGATAGTTTTCTTTTTCATTTTTCTTTATAGCTTTCTAAAAAAAACTGATAAAGAAATTGATGCTATAAAGACTTATCTGATTCTTCCTCCTTATATTAATACCAATTCAAAGTTGGAATACAAACTTAGTTTTTGTTGGAAATGCAAGTTTCACACTGACAAACGTCATACACTTCAACCTGTTTTATCTTTACTTCTCCTGCACAAGTTAGAAAAATTTTTTTTTGCGATGTAACTGGTTTGCATACTACACATATTGATTCTTTTTTTTCCAAAATCGGATCATACTTGTACAACGAAGTGCAAAAGCCTGTGCACATGCTGCTCAGTAATATATAATCATCACACCCCTTTGTGGTAACTGTTACATTATACGGCACAGTCAAGCAGTCGTTACTTTTGCCGGTAAAAACTGGAAAGGATTTGAGCATACCGTTGATGTGAAAGAAAAACAAAACAAAAGCGAGTTTCAGAGTCATATCTCTAAAAAAAAAAAAAAACTTGTATATAATAAAACATCACCATAACAACCATAACAAAAACTAAAAACTATTCTAAGAAAAATTGATGAAAATGAAAAACTGTATAAGATATAAATATAAAATTCTTACTTATACAATTGAAGTATTTAAATTTGTAAAACACTTTGTTTTTTCATTTTTCATTTTTTTTTAAAGTAGATGTTAAACTCACCTTAAAATTTTGTGTGAACCTCTTTAGTATTTAAGTAAAACTGATTTCTTTAAAAACAAATTACTTGTTGCCATTTATAAAAGACCGACCCACACTTTGAAATGTCAATCACAATCCTCTAACGGTAGTATGCTGTATGTTGTTACAGATAAGCGTTCACTATTGTAAAGTATTCACTGTTGAAAAACTTACTATTACAATGTAGATAAATTAAGAGGAAATTGTAGAATTTTGAGATGCGGTTTTAGTAAAGGTTGTTGACACTAAACTTGTGAAGACATTTTTGTTTTAGGAAATCAAATGACAACGAACAAAAATTAGTTGTTCATTTAGTTTCATTATTAACAATTAGTATTTCATTATATATTATAACTATTATAGACTTTAAAAAGCAAGTTAAAAAAAACTTTAAAAACAATTTGAAGGATTATATCAATATTAAAACAGATTAAATAAATGTTTGGAAATGTTGAGTGCCAGTACCAAAAAATGTCGAGTACCATCATCATCATCCAGTGCCAAAATATTCAAGATTTACTTTTTCAAAATTAAGTTTTAAAAGAATTATTTTTTAAGATTTAAGTCTGCAAATTTTAACAACAATTTAAAAAAATGAAATATTAGGCTATTATAAAACGTTTAAGTTACCTTTTAATTTATGCATAAATTATATTATTTTACGCACAAATTATATTGTTTACGCATAAAAAGATGTTTTTTCCTATTAGTTGAGTTTAAGAAATCTTTGGTATCCACTCAAATTTTTCGTGTTAAGGAGTAAAATAAATAATACTTTTCTATTGTTTTTTAATAAATATTAATGTTCTAATGAATCTATCTGTTGATGACAATGTAAACTTTATACTGATTTAACTTGCCGATCCAAAAATAGGATTCTTTTACCAGTATTTTGTAAAGGAATCTCTTTCTTAGCTATCCAAGTGAATCCCCTCTCACAAGTGGATGTCCGTGTATATTATACTCCTTAGTTAATAATATTAAAGTAAAAAAAAAAAAAAAAACTTAAAAAAACAACTTAATAAAAAAAAACTTTAAACAACCAATAGATTAAATTAGCATAAAGTATATATAAAATTAGCATAAGTTAGATATAAAATTAGCTACATTAAAATTTTCGTTTTTATTTATTTTGGACTTGACAAACTACGTCGCACATTTTGGGTTTCAAGTTGTTTTTGCGTATTAACTGTGTTAATCGCAGAAGGTTATGTTAATCGCAAAAAAAAAAATTCTTAAATTAACGTTAATTTAAAAAAATAACCGATTCAAAAAACATGTTAAATATTTTTAACTGCTTATCTATCTGCTAACTTTTAAAAATAAATTCTTATATATAAAATTATTATTGTTATACAAACAAAAAGAATAAATATTATCAAGAAATAAAAACATATTTATTTTGTTTAAAAAAGTGCTTATTTTATTCCCGCCTTTTTGTCAAATACCATTTTTGCAAGTGCAATTATTTATTCCAAAGTTTGTTAAAGAATTTCGGTTTTAATAAGATATTTTTGGAAAAAGTGAAACTTTTTTTGTTTGTTTGAAGGAATACTAGGTAACATTTATCGTTATTATTTTTAAACTTTGAATTAATAGTTATAATTTTCAATAGAAGTTTAAAAAATAATAAGAAACAAATATTTCCATAAAAATTTCTAATTTAAAAAAAGAGATAAAAACTGTTGTTTTATGTTATTTATTTTGAAATAAAATCATACAATTTATTTTCTTCAGATTAAAAAGTTCTTAACATATCAGCGATGTTTTTGAAAACTTCACTTCTTCACTATTTATTCGTCTTGAGTAAGTTGTTTATTTATAAGTGTTTCTGACTGGTTTTTTGGAGTACTTTTTTGAACAAAGTCTATATATATATATATATATATATATATATATATATATATATATATATATATATATATATATATATATATATATATATATATATATATATATATATATATATATATATATATATATATATATATATATATATATATATATATATATATATAAATATATATATATATATATATATATATATATATATATATATATATATATATATATATATATATATATATAAATATATTGTTGGTTCTTTCTGTCGTTAGAAAAGCTCAAGAAACGGTTTTTTAAAAAGAAGGTTTTGGTTAGGGCAGGCAGTCTATAAAATTTTTTTTTTTCTAAAAAATTATTTATCATAGGTTTATAATAAGAGAAATTACTGGCGCAAAAAATGTACATCTCACTCTTTGCCAAACACGGTTAAACATAATAATGAATTTTTATATGATAAAAGACAAATTACGGAAGAATTTAATAAATATTTTGTGTTTGTAGGACCAAATCTGGCAAAAAGAATTCCTATAGCTAACAGTTTAATGAATGATCTATGTTTCTCTCTAAAGTTTTACTTGAACTCTTTTGAATTATCTTTTAAAGAGTTTGAAAATGCCTTTAAAATGTTAAAATCTAACAAAACAGTAGGCTCTGATGGTATTAATGGCAACGTTATTATAAGTTTATTTGATTTTCTAAAAGATATACTCTTTAAAATTTTTTCAATATCAATTATTTATATATATATATATTTATATATATATATATATACATATATATATATATATATATATATATATATATATATATATATATATATATATATATATGTATATATATATATATATATATATATATATATATATATATATATATATATATATATATATATATATATATATATATATGTATACATTTATATATATATATATATATATATATATATATATATATATATATATATATATATATATATATATATATTTAACATGTTTATTTCACAACTACAAAGTATTTACAATTGACCAATCATCGATTGGCGAATAAAGATATACAAATATAAATATCGTAAACATAAAGTCCAAAATAAATAAGGGATAAATCTAAAATATTGTTACATTCAACTTTGAGACATGATAAAAATAAATACAAAGTACACAATAGAATAACGTGAACGTAAAAATTACCCAAGAAATAAACCTTCTATATTCTTTCAATCAGAATAAAAAAAATATATATATATATATATATATATAAAAGTATGATAAAAACAAGATTTGTATAAGATTGAAAAAAATAATTAGTTGTTTGTAGTTATAGGAAGCTCGCAGAAGACTGGGGTCAGTCTTGTCATCGAGTACCTTCTAGACGTGTAATACATAAAAATCAGTTGCATACGTGGCAAATATGTATGTGATACATATATGCCTTAAAATTATTAATGTTACTATCTCCTTTTAGTATTATTTTTATTGATTCTTTTGAAAAGTTACATTTTTTGTTTTATTAGAGTTGTTTTACATTATTTTTAATTTTTAAATTTTAAATTGGAGTTTAAAAAAACTCCTTGTAGTTGTTTAACTTGATTATTGTAGATTTTAACTTTGTTTTTAGGGGCTGTTCGTTGTTTAAATTTATTAGCGATTCGTTTCTAGAAATTATTTTGTTAAATAAATAGGGACCACGATGTTTTATTGAAAACTTTGAGAGTTTAGTTTTTTCAAAGGGTATCTTAAAGTTTCCCGTTGCTCTTGTATTGTATTTGTTTACGTTGTTTTCAAAAAAGTAGGCTGTAAAATGTTCTGGAACCAGACTTAGTTTATATTTAAACATAAAAAGTATATTTTGATAAACATTAATTTGAAAAATATTTAAAGCGTTCATTTGCTCCAGTAGGGGTTGAGCATGAGTAAGTTTGTTTTTGTTGAACACTAGTCTTGAAGCGTGCTTTTGACGCAGATAAAGCGGTTTTAATTTAGTTATGTGGGTACTGCCCCATGCTATATTGGCATACATAAGATAGCTATGTATAAATGAAAAATAAACGAGTATTAGACTTTTTTGTGTCAAGAAAGATCTTGCTTTATAAAGTAGACCTATGTTCTTTGATATTTTTGTATTTATATAGTTGATGTGGGGCTTCCAAGAGTTGTGTTCATCAATTAGAACACCTAAAAACTTTGTATTTTGAGTTCTTTCGATGGTTATATTTTCTATAGTAATTGTTGGTAGGTTAAGGGGAAGCTTTTTAATTTGTTGAGTAGAGTGGAATAGAATATATTTAGTTTTATATTGAGTGATAGTTTGTTTGATTTAAACCATATATTAATTTTTTTTAATTCATTATTTGTTTTTTTAAATAAGTCTTCAATAGTCTTTGATGAGTAAAATAAGTTTGTATCATCGGCAAAAATTATAGTTTTGAAAATATTAGAGGCATTTGGGAGATCGTTTATGTAAATAAGAAACAAAAGAGGAGCAAGAATGGACCCTTGGGATACACCACATTTTGTTTTCAGTAAATTCGAGTTGCTTTTTTTATCTATAATAACACACTGGTGTCTGTCATTAAGATATTTTTTAAACCAAGTTAAAGCTTTATTTTTAACGCCATAATTTTCCATTTTTGTCAGTAAAATCTCATGGTTGATGGTATATATATATATATATATATATATATATATATATATATATATATATATATATATATATATATATATATATATATATATATATATATATATATATATATATATATATATATATATACATATATATATATATATATATATATATATATATATATATATATATATATATATATATATATATATATATATATATATATATATATATATATATATATATATATATATATATATATATATATATATATATATATATAGGGCCAACGACACAGGTTTCGAAGTGGAGGGGCACAATCGTCAATTTTAAAAAAAAATTTTCTACAATTTTGGGGTTTTCTAACGTTTATAGATACTATACAATGTAAAACAAAATTAAAAAAAAAACATTTTAATGATGAACCAGGTTAAACACTTTTAGATTTAAATATTTAATTTTATACCTATCAAGAATTAGATTGCCTTAATTCTCGTCAAATCTGTATCTTTTCGCAAATAGAAAACAACTTTGATGGCTCATTTTATACTGTAGAAATATTTTTTATACTTACAAAAAGTTCATAAGGTTCTTTAAAATCTTGAATAAAAAAAAAAAATTGACAACCAATACTTTTTTAAGCTTATTTATTTCAATTTAATATGTACATAATTTGTCACAAAATACCATCACGAAAAATGAATGTGGGTCACTCCAAATATTAATTTAATATGTAAAAAATATGTCACAAAATATCATCACGAATAATGAATGTCACTCCAAGTATTAATTTAATATGTAAAATATATGTCACAAAATATCACCACAAAGAATGAATGTCACTCCAAGTATTAATTTAGAGACAGTAAAAAATTGTTAAAAACTTTTTTAGCTTTTGATTTATTCAACATAGTTTACAAGTGATCCTCTGCTGCATGAGA